CTTTTTGGAAAGATCACGTTCTACTCTTTTGATCTTCTCAAACTTTGTAGGTGCAATTTCCACTTTTCTATGTTTAATCTTTGGTTCTCCTTCCTCATCTTCATTTGACGATTCAAATTCTCCTTCTGATTCTTCTTTCGATATGCTGTCATAAAAACTGTCAGCTGTATCAGCGCGCTTGCGTACTGGAAGCTGTAGAAGGTGCGTGTTTGTTATTGTTTTGAATACACGCGTTTTTAATCTCCGAAACAGATTGGGTCAGAGCGTTAATTGCTCTCTGTTGTTCTAAAATAAGCTTCTGGTTATTAATCATCTGCTCCTGGTACATCCCAAGTAAATCCGGCCTATTTGTCTGGTTAGATGTAGCGGTACTCGTAGCCCCTCCTTTTTTAATTTTTCCCGAAAACATAGAAGTAGCACTATTTTTTCGTTACATTTTCTGATGGAGCTCCAATAATTTGAAGAGAACCATCATCATTTACAATAACTGTTTGGTTTTCAAATATATTACAATCTTCCACTTGGATAGGTTCTATCGTAAATACCTCGGCCATTGTCTTGTAAAAAGCCCTCGCTAATTTGCCGAAGTCGATAACAAAGAAATTATCTGTAATACGTTATTTTGAACCGTATTTTCAAGATATCTAGTTCCTAAAATCACATATATCCCAAATTCAATTCAATTTCCTGAAACTTCACAGAATTAAAACCATAATTCGAATAAATTTTTCCCACAAAATAAAAATCTAATTTGCTTATGAAAGGATCAACCTTGTTCTGATTTGTGTCACATGATCAATTGTTCACTCATGTGATTCTGGGTAGATTGGACTTACTAAATATGTATTTAATCATATGAATCAGTTATTTAAATAAAGCAAGCAAATACATGATATTCAAAATACACAAATGTTTAATATCTACAGGTATGTACATATGCTAATGTATACTATATAGTATAAAATAAGAATAATAGCAAACATTATTTTACACAGGATATGACATAATGGATAGAAACAAGTATCATGATGATAACTTTTGTTGTGCCTTTTTTATTACATTTTTACTAGTTCTTATGTAGCGACAATAACTATTAGACTTCCATCTACCTAATGTTTTAATTAAGTGATCCTCAATATTAGATTTTCCAGCTGTTGTAGCAGCTCCAATTCGAAATGAATGTCCGTTAAAGGAATGAGGATTATATCCACATATACCCAAAAGATGCTTTAACTTGCTAATGAAAAATTCTCTTTCTAGAGCTTTACCCGATTTGTCAATAAACAAAGCACTATTATTTTGAAATTTAAACATGGTTTTCCTTACAATCAAATAATCATGTAAAGCTTTAAACGGACAAAAATCATGATTTAGCTTGTGAAGTTGAATATCCACACCCATCCTGAAAGGGTCAGTCTTAGACTGCTTTAAATGTAAAATAACATAGTCAGAATAAAACAAAACATCAGATATACATATATTGTTGTTACAATCAAATGATTTTGACTTGCGAATTGTAAATTCGCCACAGCGTAAGAAACCATAAAAAGCTACTGTAAAAGCAGTATATAACATGTGGTCAATAAAAGGTGAAAAAAGTCCTTCTTTAAGTTTAACACATAAATGTTGAAGGATATCAAAAGTTATGGGTAAGCGATCTTTAATGATCGGTTTCTGTAATCTTTTAATAGAATTAAAAAACAAGGACAGTCTCTCTAAATTGTTACTAGAATCGTTGAAAGGAGAACATATATTGTCCTTCAAGCATCTATGTCTAATTCCACATATGTATAGTTTAATTGTAGAGTACTGTAGTTTGAGATGTTGAAAGCAATGTGTAGCAAAATATATCAATAGATCTTCTGACACTGAATGAGGCTTGCTGTCAGTAACACTAATACCATTTAATAACAAAAATTTAAAAAAATGATTATAACTGGTCTCATATGACAGTTTCTGTCCCATCAGAAACAGAAAAATGCCGTAATTTACTAACTGTTTCGCTCAGTTATGTCTGGTTGAAGAAGCCATGTTATTTACCAAAGTTTTTATAGCCGTAAAATCACGAAACTATTAAAAAAAACTGATTCAAGTTCTCAATTCCTATTCAAAAGAAAGACAAATTATACTCTATTTAACTGCAATGAATATTATGTCCGAGATCACTAATTTACGATGAGGTATAAAGAGTTGACTACAGTTCTAGTGATAAAATCGTAATCACACTCTGGAAATAAAAGTCGTGTACAAAATACCTTTCCAGTCCAGAGAATCTTCCACAATAAAGTCTCAAGTTTAACAGCAGAAAAATCAGTATAATAAGTAAAACTGTAAAATGAAATTGAAAACTTATTCCTATAGAGTAAACGTCCTTTGTATTCAACAGCCAAATCAAAAGTGAGAAGCCGGCAGCCTGCAATTGTAATCTGAGAACCTAATCCCTGATAATCAGACAGACCAAATTAGGCATGACCTTTGACCTTATAATGGAATCAACTGCCCCATCTCATGGAAGAAACCATTCCGTCTGAATAAACAACACTTATACTCTGCATAAGTTACAATCTACTGCAAATAATCTTTTTTCCATTCTTTTTGAAGCATATATGGTCTACATTTTCAGCTTTTCCATATTGTATTTTATTGTAATGCAAAGTTATATTCTATTGTAACAAGAGTTCTGCTGATGAATCAAGAACAGAACTGGATATTAATCCTTTCTCTTGTTGGATCACTAGAAGGGGCTGCACTGGTCCTGCACCAATTAAACCGGTGAACATGTTTCTAAGTTTCACTTCACTCATCATTTTAGAATAATTTAACAACACTTTTTAGCAATAAATATAAAGAATAATGAAGCTTATTCACTCAAGATTCGAACACTTTAAGTTTTATTTATGTACAAGTAAAATTAAGATGATACGAGTTGAAAAACCATAGGGCATGCACGTTTACAAAAAAAAGTAAACTCTGACCTTTTGTCACGTGACCATTGTCTTGACCTTAGAAGCCATTAAATCGTTTGCCATCCAACTGTATAACAAAAATGATCAGCAAGACAAGATCTACAAGTAAGTCAACATGGCCAACATTGTTAGTAAGTCATTGCCCTTTAATGATGATTTTTCTGATTTTTTTGCATTTTTGCCTTTCATCTTGCAAACTATGATAGATAGATGGAAATTTTATATAGCAAAAATGATCAGCAAGACAAGATCTACAAATAATTCATTATGACCAAAGTCGTTGGTCAACTCCTTATTAAAGTTATTGCCTTAAGAGTTGATTTTCCCCAATTTTTCATTTTTGCCCTTTTATCTTGAAAACTATTATTAATAGATAGAAACTTTAAAAGCAAAAATAATCAGCAAGACAAGATCTACAAATCAGCCATCATGGCCAAAATCTTCAGTCAACTTGTTATTGCCCTTTAATTTTTACCATTTTTATGCATGTTGTGCCTATTAAAACTACAATAAAGAAAAATGATCAGCGGGATAAGATCTACAAATATGTCAACATGACTGAAATTGTCTCAATAGAGTTATACCCCTTTAATGATGATTTTTACTAAAAAGTGGCCATTGTTAAAGATGCAGGTGAGTGACACAGGCTCTTTAGAGCCTCTAGTTTTAAGATCTTAGAAAATAGTATAATCATGCCACACCTCCTTATTTTTATAATCAAATGATTAAAATACTCATAACCAATAAGTAAGTCTTGGTTAATTAAGGGAAAAGGCAAAGGAAAGATGAGATATTCCTGATTGACAAAAATGTTAGTTTTCTTTAACAGAAGAGTTCTGGATTGGTCTTTAACTAGACATATTAGCTTGAGCTTTATAAAAAATACTGTATAGACAAGACTGGTGAAAAATAGTATGAAATTTAGAAAATTATTTTGTAATATAGAATAAGGAGATGTGGTATGATTGCCAATGAGACAAGTATCCACCAGAGTTCCAATGACGAAAATAAAAGCAATTATAGGTCACCGTATGGCCTTCAACAACGAGAAAAACCCATACCATATAGTCAACTGTAAGAGGCCCAACATGAAAAATGTGTAACAATTCAAACGAGAAAACTAACACCCTTATTTATATAATTCAATTTACAAAAACAAATATGACAGACATGAACCAACGACAACCACTGAATTACAGGCTCCTGACTTGGGACAGGCACATGAAGAATGTGGTTGGGTTAAACATGTTTGTGAGTGCTCAACCCTCCCCTTTACCTGGGACAGTGATGTTACAGCACAACATAAGAACAAACTGTAAAAATCAGTACCAAATGGCTTAACTCAATTAATTGGTACGAAGCACAAATAAACCAAATAACATAAAAACAATAGACACAAAGCACCGAAACTAGTTTAAAGCCAATAACAACTAATAAATAAATCATGTTTTCCCAGACTAAAGTATCAACCAGTACACATCCAACTGATTCAGTTTAAAGAAGTCTGAGAAACACATGACCTTGTGCAATGCCAAAATATAAGTAAACAGTATGGACAGGATGTATGATCATGAGTACTCATAACTGTACATATATTGCAATAGTTTTAGTTTTATATAAAAAAAAAATAATTTGTTAACATTTCTTAAACCAGGTTTTCTGTTGACGATCTGTTTATTGTTTTAGGGTAGAATGGTGTATAGGTGGCTGTGTGGCTCTGTCTGTTTCTGTGTGAGACTCTTCAACCAATACTTTTCAAATTTTGATATGTTGTTAAAGATGACAAAATGGAAGTTTATTTTGTTATTGACGATTAACTTTAGCTGTTCAGGAGTTATGGTCCTTGATTGATTGTAAAATCTATTTAAGCTGTGCAGTAACTAATTGTAATTTTTAAAAATCCTGAACAGCACTGGTATAACATATATTCCTAACTTCCTGTATTTGTAAGGAATTTAAATTGAGAATAGACAAGGCCAGAATTGGAAAAAAACTCTTATGCAGCAACTGTTTATGGTTTTTTGTTTGTTTCAGGCTTTGTATTGTTTGTTCAAAAAGATATAGCTGATACACAGACACAGATTCTAGACAGTACAATACGACTCATCATGCAGTTACTTGTTCAGTGGAAATCTAATGTCAATTCACATAAAGTAAAACCTATATTCCAGCTTTAAAAACATTCACGGATTTTATGAACATTAAACAACTTAATACTACAGAAAAGAAATTTTTTTGGTCCTAATATTTAGTAATTTACACCATTTCTTAGATTCTTGGGAATACAAAACAACTAATCATGTAGTTCCTTATACACATAAAATCTTTAAGCCTCAATTTAGGTGTCTTCAGGATGGGGGAAATTTACAAAAAAGGCACTTTTTCCGTTTGACAATTCATCTTTTAAGCATACTTTTTTCATTAAGTTGGATGTACAATAATTGACCACATAAAAACTTAAAAAGAATTTGATTAAAGTACAAGTAGTATATCTACTGAATTTGGGCATGTATAATCCATAGTTTTTTTTGGCATCAAGATTCAAATTTCCAGGCAGGCTTGTATATTATATAGTACTACAAGCAAGAAATAGGAGAAAAAGTTGATTCTACAATTTTTGTTTACCTTTTGCTACCATGATTTTTGTTGACAAATTAGAGGGCGCCCTAATTTCTATTTTTTATAAGACCGCAAAAATTAAAAATTTTTTGGTCGTATATTGGTATGACGTTGGCGTCCTCGTCGTCGTCGTCGATGTCGTCTGGCGTCGTCCGGCATCTTCCGAAGACACATTGGTTTTCGCACTCTAACTTTAGTTTAAGTGAATGGATCTCCATGAAATTTTACCATAAGGTTCTATACCACGAAAGGAAGGTTGGGATTGATTTTGGGGGTTATGGTACCAACAGTTAAGGAATTAGGGGCCAAAAATAAGCATTTTTGTAACTTCCAGACAATAACTTGTGTGTAAGTCTATGGATCTCTCTGACATTGTACCACAAGGTTCCATATCACAAAGGGAAGGCTGTAATTGATTTTGGGGGTAATTGCCTCAAAATTTTAGGAATTAGGGGCCAAAAAAGGGGCAAAAAACAAGCATTTTTCTAGTTTCATGACAATAACTTGTGTTCAAGTGTATGAATCTCTCTGAAATTGTACTGCAAGGTACCATACCACAAAGGGAAAGCTGGGATTGAGTTTGGGGGTGATGAATCATAAGGGGGTTCAAAAAATTTGGGGGGGGATTTTTTTTTTTTTCTTTTAAAATTTTCCATTTTAAGTTGGTTATTTCTGATTTATATTTAAAAGCAAATAATAATGATATGGTAGGAGATACACACCAAACAGGATGTGTAAATTATTATATAATAAGTATTGTGCAATAGCAAGAAATTTTCAATTGCACAGTATTGCACAATAGCAAGAAATCTTCAATTGCACAGTATTGCGCAATAGCAAGAAATCTTCAATTGCACAGTATTGCGCAAAAGCAAGAAATATCCAATAGGACAATATTGCGCAATAGCAAGAAATTGTCAATTGTACAGTATTGCGCAATAGCAAGAAATATTCAATTGCACAGTATTGTGCAAAAGAAGATACTTCGTGTAAATTGCTTATTTCGTGATCAATTTCAATGGGGTTTTGTTCTTGAATTCTTGGGGTTCTTTAATATGCTGAATCTAACTGTGTATTAAGTTTTTGGATTTTGGGCCCCGTTTTTAAATTGGTCCACATTGAGGTCCAAAGGGTCCAAAATTTAACTTTGTTTGATTTCATCAAAAATTGAATTATTGGGGTACTTTGATATGCCGAATCTAACCGTGTATTTAGATTCTTAATTTTTGGTTCCTTTTCAAATTGGTCTACAGTAAGGTCCAAAGGGTCCAAAATTAAACTTAGTTTGATTTTAACAAAAATTGAATTTTTAGGGTTCTTTGATATGCTGAATCTAAACATGTATTTAGATTTTTGATTATGGGCCCAGTTTTCAAGTTGGTCCAAATCGGGGTCCAAAATTAAACTTTGTTTGATTTCAACAAAAATTGAATATATGGGGTTCTTTGATATGCTGAATCTAACCATGTATTTAGATTTTTGATTTTTGGGCCCCGTTATCAACTTTGTCCACATTGAGGTCAAAAGGGTCCAAATTAAACTTTTGTTTGATTTCATCAAAAATTGAATTCTTGGGGTTCTTTGATATGCTGAATCTAACCATGTATTTAGATTTTTGATTTTTGGGCCCCGTTATCAACTTTGTCCACATTGAGGTCAAAAGGGTCCAAATTAAACTTTTGTTTGATTTCATCAAAAATTGAATTCTTGGGGTTCTTTGATATGCTGAATCTAACCATGTATTTAGATTTTGGATATTGGACCATAATAGGTGAATGTCCAATTTAAAATTTTTAAGTTCTTAGACCACATTCATTCTGTGTCAGAAACCTATGCTGTGTCAAATATTTAAATCACAATCCAAATTCAGAGCTGTATCAAGCTTGAATGTTGTGTCCATACTTGCCTCAACTGTTCAGGGTTCGACCTCTGCGGTCGTATCAAGCTGCGCCCTGCGGAGCATTTTATTTCTTTTCTAATCAATATTAGTATGTCATTTTAATGAAAACAATACTGATAAATATCAAAATATTAAGCTTCAGTTCAAAATTCTTCTTTCATCTCGTAGCATAAAAAAATCTCCCTGTATCTACTTAATGATGTAAAGAGTTGGGAACCTAGTTTGTTATTCTTTCCAATTTAATGTTTAGACAGCTTCAGGTACACAATATTCATTACCACAAAACTAAGATCAAGTACAAATTTTTTGTTTCAGTTCTCTAACTTCAGTTTGCCTCAACCAAATGTTATGAAACTTATACACAATACGTATTACCACAAAACACAGATCAAGTTTGAATTTTGATGGCGTCACTTTAACCGTTCTAGAGTTATGCCCCTTTATAAATGGAAAAATTGCTAAATTTTTAGTTTCCGTTCTCTAACTTAAGTTTGCCTCAACCAAATGTTATGAAACTTATACACAATGCTTATTACCACAAAACACAGATCAAGTTTGAATTTTGGTGGTGTCACTTTAACCGTTCTAGAGTTATGCCCCTTTATAAATGGAAAAATTGCAAAATTTTTATTTTCTTCTAAATATTATAATAAGTAATTTTTAGAATTGGAGTTATCTTCCTTTGTCCATGATTATAGTTGAATCAACTACAATCAATGCTTTATACAATGCAATGTTTAATTTTGACTTCCACTGATAAAACACAGATCAAGTTGAATTTGGGTAGTGTCACTTTAACCATTATTAAGTCTCCCAAACGAAGTTTGGGAAGACTTATTGTTTTTGCTCAGTTCTTATTATTTTTATTCTTCTTCTTCTTCTTCTTCTTCTTCTTCCGCCGAACTTGTCCGCACCCGTTCTCCAAAACCACTGGTCAGATTAACTTAGGGTTTCACAATATGTTAGACTAACATGTCTAGTGGTGCAATCAGGGTTTTGTTTGTGCAATGGGGTTTATAAAGGGGTACTTTGAGGGGCATAAAGGAAGGAGGGGTTTACTATAGAACCCTATGGGATTTTATTTTTTTTATTTTCAAATGATTATAACTTGAAAACAGTTAGTGATAGACACAATATTTATAATTGAAAATGTTCTAAATGATAAAGCACATTAAATGAAATAAAAGCTTAGTCCCCAGGGGTTACCCCTACCCCCTACCATTAGAGAAAGTTTTAATATCTTGGAAGTAGTCAAGATCCCCACCCCTAAACCATATATATTTTGATTTGTCATGATAAAGCACATCAAATGAAATACAGGGTTAGTCCCCAGGGGTCATCCCCACCCCCTGCCATTTGAGAAAGTTCTAATATCTTGGAAGTGGTCAAGATCCCCACCCCTAAACCATATATATTCTGGTTTGTCATGCCGAGATGATTTGAATGATAAACAGGGTTAATCCCCAGGGTTTGTCCCGACCCCCTGCCATTTGAGAAAGTTCTAATATCTTGTAAGTGGTCAAGATCCCCACCCCTAAACCATATATATTCTGGTTTGTCATGCCGAGAAGATTTGAATGATAAACAGGGTTAGTCCCCAGGGGTCTACATGACCCCCTGCTGTTAGAGAAAGTTCTAATATCTTGGAAGTGGTCAAGATCCCCACCCCTAAACCATATATATTTTGGTTTGTCATGATAAAGCACATCAAATGAAATACAGGGTTAGTCCCCAGGGGTCATCCCCACCCCCTGCCATTTGAGAAAGTTCTAATATCTTGGAAGTGGTCAAGATCCCCACCCCTAAACCATATATATTCTGGTTTGTCATGCTGAGATGATTTGAATGATAAACAGGGTTAGTCCCCAGGGGTCGTCCCGACCCCCTGCCATTGGAGAAAGTTCTAATATCTTGTAAGTGGTCAAGATCCCCACCCCTAAACCATATATATTCTGGTTTGTCATGCCGAGAAGATTTGAATGATAAACAGGGTTAGTCCCCAGGGGTCTAGCCGACCCCCTGCCATTTGAGAAAGTTCTAATATCTTGTAAGTGGTCATGATCCCCACCCCTAAACCATATATATTCTGGTTTGTCATGCCAAGATGATTTGAATGATTAACAGGGTTAGTCCCTTTACTGGACCAAACCAATTTGTACTGGACTTTGCCCAATGTCAGGCGACCATAGGAATGACGAATTATTGGAGCTTCGTTTGGGAGAAATCATTTCTTGTTGAGTTATGCCCCTTTATAAATCGAAAGATTGCAAAATTTTTAGTTTCCATTCTGTAACTTAAGTTTGCCCCAACCAAACATTATGAAACCTATACACAATATTCATAACCACAAAACTAATATCAAGTACAAATTTTTTGTTTCCGTTTTCTAACTTTAGTTTGTCTCAACCAAATGTTATGAAACTTACAAACTACATAATACAGATTAAGTACGAAATTTGGTGGCAATACTTTTACCATTCTTGAGTTATGTCCCTTTATAAACATAAAAATTGCTGAATTTTTCGTTCTGTTCTCCAACTTTAGTTTGTCTCAACCAAATGTTATAAAACTTATACACAACCGTTCTAGAGTTATGCGTGTTTACAAATAGAAAAATTGTTGAATTTTTAGTTTCTGTTCTCTACTTGAGTTAGCCTCAACCAAATGTTATGAGACTTACACACAATGCTTATTACCACAAAACTCAGATCAAGTTCAAATTTGGGTAGCGTCACCTTTACCGTTCTTCAGTTATGTCCCTTTATAACTATATGATATGCAAACGGGGGCATCATCTGTGTCCACATGTGGACACTATCCACATTTATTTTATATGTTTCTACACCTGATTCATGCCTCAGCGTTGGAGAGTATGATCAGTAGATACTGTCTTTTTTGTCCAATCACAGTGTTCAGATACATTAACTTAAGTTAGGGTACACAAAAGAGCAACCTAAATTCCTGAATGTAAATACTACCATAGATATAAGTAGATGTGGTATGAGTGCCAATGAGACAACTTTAATAACAAACACAACTTTTGCACCACTTTTTTGGCAAATTTATTTGTTATCATTTCTTAACGAGGTTTTCTGTTTGAAATCTGTTAATTGTTTTAGGGTAGAATGGTGTATAGGTGGCTAAGTGGGAGGGTGGCTGTGACTGTTTCTGTGTGATTACTTTTGGACTGTTCAATCAATACTTTTAAAATTTTAACATGTTGTAAAGATGACAAAATGGAAGTTTATTTTGTTATTGACGATTAACTTCAGATGTTCAGGAGTTATGGTCCTTGATTGATTGGAAAATGGCACTTTGTGTTGTTTCTGTGCAATAAGTTGAGAACTGTTCAAACAATGCTTTTCAAATTGTAATCCAGAAAAGTGCTTCGAACACACAAAATTTATAAGGTGTCATTTTCATTTATTATGGGTAACTGATGACAAAATATATGCCAAGTTTGAAATTGGTGATTTTCACTTTGCTGTTCATGAGTTATGGTCCTTGAATTGATAAAAAAAATAGCATTTTGTTATTTTCTGTGTATTTTATCAGGAAAAATAGTTGGCAATGTATAGTTTTATGAATATGAGCATCTGTCAATAACGATAAAAAAATCAGCAAAGAACATAAGAGTGATTTAAAAATTTGTATTTTTTAGGAAAAACAGCCAACAGAGAATATTGTAGTGAATCGACTGGAACCATCAAATCTTGGAGTATTACATGAAGTTGAAGGCTTGGCTATTGTCTTACTTTGTAGTAACAGAGTTGTTACCAGGAAACTGGCATTACATTTGCTGAAAGAAGTTAGGAATATATTTTTTGCTAATGCTGTTCAGGTTAGTAAATATTACAATTAGTTGCAGCACAGCTCAAGTAGATTTAGATTTTTTTTACCAATTCATGCTGGACACAGTGTACATACCTATCTCTTTGTTCACAGATATTTATCTTTTATTTTCTAAAGCTAATGCATTTAAATGTTGTCATACTGTTTTCCTTGTACTTTCAACTATAGCTATGTCTTAGGCGGAATAGGTGGATCATTCAGAACTTTCAAAATCATGTGAAAAAATTATTAAATAAAAGTGCACAAAGAGGTATGCATTGTACCTCCAAAGGCAGGCAGGATGTCTACTTAAAATTTAGCGTACTGTAAATTCAGAAATTATTGCGTGCATTTATTATTGCGATTTTGTCATTTTAGACTAAAATGCAATTTTAATTTTTGCGATATTGAGAAAAATCCTGTTTAATTCATATAAAAATTTAAAATGCGAGTTTAAATTATTGCGATTATAACCCTGTCGCATTTTTGGCAATAGTAAAAACATCGCAATAATTTCTGAATTTACAGTATTTAATCAAATAGGAAAAGCTGATGAATTAAATTACATGAGATTTGTTTAGAATTGTTGTACGGTACACATTATAAGAATAAGAAGATGTGGTATGATTGCCAATGAGACCACTATCCACCAAAGTTCAGATGAAGTGGATGCAAGCAATCTGTCCATGTCCATCTGACATGGTTTACATGCTGTTAACCTGTTTTTCAATGTTTATTGATCAACATTAAGTTTTATTGATTAGGTTTAAGTTTCTCAGATGCAACAAATATCATGGTAGCTTCACTAGTGTAATGTAATGATATGTACTTTATTGGTACAGGGAGTAAACAGTAATGAGCCTTGTCTGTTAGAGGTTATTGACAAGGCTTGTCCTGAAGTGGTGAAGAAACTGTTACCATCATTACCAGCTGCAGAAAAGGTACCATTTTACCTGAAGACATATCATTGTAATTGAGATGCATGGATTTATCATAACTAAGACATGGAAAACAGTATAAAAGGGACGAAAATTCCAAGGGGCAATCAAAGACCAAAGTAAAAAAATTGAAAGATAAACTATTCCACAAAACATTACTCAGGAAACTAAAGATTGAGTAACATGAGCTGCAAGTTCATAACCAATCTAATCATTACATTTTCTTTATTTTCTTTCTTTTTATAAGAAATCTAATGAGATAAGAAGAGTAATAAAGCTCAGGGTTAAAACTTTAAAACATCCTTCTTGAAAATGATAAAAACAAGGTGCCCCAACTATATTATATTTTGTCACCCCCTTCAGATTCTAAATAGAACATAACATTCAGGTCAAGGATACAGGCTATAAACAAGCTTCATTTAGAGTCGACATGGTTTACAAAACAAATCATCTCAAATGTTTTATTTCCAACTGCAATGGCTTGGATTAAACTTAAAACAATCAATTTAGAACTGAACTTTCATTTTCAAGTATACATAATAAATTTTCAAAATCATCATCAGCATATGACAGAGTATTATCATCAGCATATGACAGAGTATTATCATCAGCATAGTTATATAGAGTTCTATGTTCAATGAAATAAAATATCAGTAATAAAGATATTAAATAATGAAGGTCCCAGGATTGAGCCTCTGGGTACACCTTTCTGGATTTAGTTTGATTAGTTCCCTACAATCTGTAAGATAATTTTGAAGTAATTTCACTTATTTTAAAGAAAGCCCATAGGCAGATAGTTTACTTAAAAGAATGTCATGTAGAAGAGGTTCAAAAGCTTTTGAAAGATCCACAAATATTTCTGCTGCATAGCCTTTAATTTTTCTTTGAGTTTTTTTGAAAATTGCCTGCTGAAATTTTCCCGTGGTACCTCTTAAGGTTTTGTCTATTTTGTGCAATTTGGGGCTCAAGTGGTAGCAAAAAACAAAAAAAGTTTTGTGTGTCAGGCCACAATTAAAATAATGTTTGTTTCCCCTACCCCTGCCCTTACCATTGGGGCTGACCAGGCAGGCAGGTATAACATTTTTAGCTCACCTGGGCCCGAAGGGCCCCATGTGAGCTTATGCCATCACTTGGCGTCTGTCGTCTGTCGTCGTCGTCGTCTGTCGTCGTAAACTATTTCAAAAATCTTCTCCTCTGAAACTACTGGGCCAAATACCTTCAAACTTTAACTAAATGTTCCTTAGGGTATCTAGTTTATAAATTGTATCCAAAGTTTGTATCCATCGACAAACATGGCCGCCATGGCTAAAAATAGAATATACGGGTCAAATGCAGTTTTTGGCTTATATCTCAAAAACTAAATCTTTTAGAGCAAATGTGACATGGGGTAAAATTGTTCAATTGGTCAAGATCTATCAGCTCTGAAATTTTCAGACGAATCGAACAACCCATTGTTGGGTTGCTGCCACCGAATTGGTAGTTTTAACAAAATTTTGCAGTTTTTTGTTATTATTTTGAATATTATTATAGATATATATAAACTGTAAGCAACAATAATGTTCAGCAAAGTAAGATCTACAAAAAAGTTAATATGACCAAAATTTTCAATTGACCCCTTAAGGAGTTATTGCCCTTTAAAGACAATTTTACACAATTTGTTCATCAAGTTTGCTAACATTGAAAAATCTTCTCCTCTGAAATACAGGTGAGCGATTCAGGCTCTTGAGAGCTCTTGTTTTTTTAGGATTCTACTTTTAATTGTACTAGAATTGAAAAAGATTAGAACGGCAATCTAAATATCATCAATTCATTCTAAAAACTATAGACTGGAAGAATACAATTGTTGTACTCAGTTTTTTCACAATTCTGACAATCACAAATAATATATTTTTTTGTTGTGTCATTAATGGCCTTTCCTAATATTTAATACTGGTATCTTTTTAGTAATATGTATTGCCAGATACTTGAAAGCCTACAACATATTTTTATGGTCATTGAACACTGAATTTCTAAGGTCATTGATTGCTCTTCACCTCAGTGTCAGATATACAATATGCCAGGTCACTATATTAAAAAAGAATTGATATATGAAACAGAATATTTATACAACAAGTGACTAGAATCAAACAGAATCAAACAACTATGACATCATGATCAGAATATTGTAATACTGTTGCAGATCATTTTTTTTTGGATTTCATTTGGGACTGTCCCTTTGAGCAGCAATGCACAGTTGACACACTGGCAGAACAGTTTTAAATTTGGTTATCAATGCAGGATCCCTTGGACAGTCAACTGATGCACAATGTGCACAAATATCTTTCCTGCCAACATCAGAGCCATAGTAAACGAATTATATAGGTGTCAAACAGTTCATTTTTCATAATAAGATATTCAGACAACGGTAAAATAAAAAAAATAGTGAACAACAAATTATATTCTTTTCCCAAAAGCGATACTTAGAAGAATGTGCTTGAGGACATAACCAGTGGAGATTTACAAGTTTTAAAGATTTGTCAAATTGAAGAACAACATTTATTGACTAGAAAATCTGGCTTGAAAAATTGAAGAACAACATTTATTGACTAGAAAATCTGGCTCGAAAAATTGAAGAACAACATTTATTGACTAGAAAATCTGGCTCGAAATTGTTCAGGGAATCTTTTCTGACACAAACGTAGCTGTGGAACCGTAGCTCATAAGTCCTTGTGATATTTTTTGACAATTTGCGGACCATCTATGGTACGGTCTGCAAATTGTCAAAAAATATCATAAGGACCTATAAGCTATGGTTCCGCAGCTGTCACAAATGGTGAGAAGACTTTCGTCTGTGGATGTCAATCTGGAAACTCCGCTGGTTATGTCCTCAAGCACTTCCTTCCGAGTATCCCTTATTGGAAAAGAATATAATGTGTTGTTCACTATTTTTTATACGACCGCAAAAAAATTTTGTGGTCGTATCTTGGTATGACGTTGTCGTCGTCCGAAGACACATTGGTTTTCGCACTCTAACTTTAGTTTAAGTGAATGGATCATTATGAAATTTTACCATAAGGTTCAATACCACAAAAGGAAGGTGGGGATTGATTTTGGGGGTTATGGTACCAACAGATAAGGAATTAGGGGCCAAAAAGGGGCCAAAAATAAGCATTTTTGTAACTTCCAGACATAACTTGTGTGTTAGTGTATGGATCTCTCTGACATTGTACCACAAGGTTCCATATCACAAAGGGAATGCTGGGATTGATTTTGGGGGTAATTGCCTCCAAATTTTAGGAATTAGGGGCCAAAAAGGGGCAAAAAACAAGCATTTTTCTAGTTTCATGACAATAACTTGTGTGTAAGTGTATGGATCTCTCTGACATTGTACCACAAGGTTCCATATCACAAAGGGAAAGCTGGAATTGATTTTGGGGGTAATTGCCCACAACGTTTAGGAATAAGGGGCCAAAAAGGGGCCAAAAATAAGCATTTTTCTAGTTTCCAGATAATAGCTTGTGTTCAAGTGTATGGATCTCTCTGAAATTGTACTGCAAGGTACCATACCATAAAGAGAAGGCTGGGATTGATTTTGGGGGTAATTCCCTAGAGATTTGAGGAATTAGGGGCCATAAAGGGGCAAAAAAACAAGCATTTTTCTAGTTTCAGGACAATAACTTGTGTGTAAGTGTATGGATCTTTATGAAATTGTACTGCAAAGTTCCATATCACAAAGGGAAAGCTGGGTTTGAGTTTGGGGGTAATTGCCCTAAATGTTTAGGAATTTGGGGCCAAAGAGGGACCAAAAAACAAGCATTTTTCTAGTTTAAAGACAATAACTTGTGTTCAAGTGTATGGATCTCTCAGAAATTGTACTTATACATGTGAACCTCCCGACGGGAGTACAATAATCCTGTTTTCAGGGGTCTCCTCCCGACCTCCCGTTGAAGACAAAAAAATCCCGTGTATGAAATATTTCATGAATGAAAAATTTCAGCCCAACATATCTGGTGTAACTGACATTACTGAAGTTATATTTTACCTGTAAATCAATTAACATGCATAATTATATGGCTTCACTTGTCACTTTGGGTGTCAAACATACTGGTAATCAACGATTTTTACCTCAGGCTAACTGCCGTTGTGTAATAAAACTTTGTTTATTTAAAATGAATGTTGGGTTACTTCCCTTGATTTATCCTGTTTTAAGTTACTTTCCTTTAAATAATGTAAATTTTTAAAAGAATATAAATAAAATATAAATTGAACAAATAATCATAAAAGGATGGTAATTAAATGATTTTAAATGTCTTAGGACAAATAAAAAAATAGTAATTTGAAAATTATTTGAGGGTTCTATACTTCCTTTCAAGGCTTAAATTGAAATTTATATGATAACTATGACCCATGTATTCAGTTTGAATGTGTTACTTATCATGCATCAAAAATCTACTTGCATTAAAGATAAAAAAAAAAAAAAAAATCTACTTGCATAAAGATAAAAATAAAAGATCTACTTGCAGATAGATAAGCAAATGTTCTGATTGCAATGAATAATGGTAAAAAAGATATGACCTAAAAAATTTAAAGAACATACTAAGGCCACACCAATTTGATTTTTAGTTCTTCGGACAAAAGCTCCAAAAAATATGGGGTGAGCGAGCCAAATTTTTTTGATTGTATATATTTCTTGAAAATGAGTTTTGTTGAGGCGGGTGCTCTACAAGTGGAGCGAGCGGTATAATTTTTTTTTTAAATTGTGCAATTTAGAATTTTATGTACATGTTAAAACTGGGTTACTTCAAAGAAAAAGGAGGAGAAACATGCTCTAATGCATATAATTTGATGTATTTGTGCCTGTAGTACAGTCTATACCATACCCAACTTTCTGGTTCACTTTGGTTTAGTATAATTTTGATTATTTTCGTCAAATAAGCTTTGACTGCGTAAACTTTCATTCAAATTCATACATGTGTATATATTAAGGCAGCATAGCGGATGAAGTTTAGCAAGAGGAATTATGTTAGTTAGGTAAATATAGTGTGTGGAATACAATTAAAATATGTGTATATATTCCAAAAAAAGCCCTTGAAAAATATTAAATATCTTTGATATAGTTGTTTTCGTTATATGGTAATGATTGTTTATTGGCTGCTTGACATCTAGTTGGAACTATTTATCCATAATAGGATCAACATAATGAGTGAGGTGAATATTTCAGCAACATCCTTAGTAAAATAGTTATATTGCTATGCATGTAGATCTCAGTGTAATGAAACATTCCCTTAAAGTATCTTAAGTCCTTTAACCACATTCACATGCATTATTCTGACTTGGCAAAATACATTTTCCTTTTGCCCCTGAAACCTGCAATGTATTTCAAACTGGAAGTAATTGCACCAATAATACATCCCTAATTATTATTAGCATGCCAATTTCAATACCACCACTTCGGTCTCGAACGTTGGAACTCTTAAATTTTGCCCTTACAAAAGAGTTCTGATTGCATGTCAATAAACTAACAAGGGGATATGGGGTTTTCATCAAAATAGGATTAATCTGTTAATTCTGTTAATCTGTCATTTTTTTTAAAAATCAGGTGAATTTAATATTAGTTTCATCTAAGACAGATAGCTCTACTTATGTCTGTTGTAGTCCGAGATTACTCTGACGTCCAACGGCTGTTTTGCCAGACAAGCTGGGCCGTGGAACAACAACACCATATCTTGCATGTCTGGCAAAACAGCCGTTGGACGTCAGAGTAATCTCGGACTATGTCTGTTGAAACAATGATCGGGGATGACAATGGTTAAAACGAGTACTGATGTGATCGTGGTCATCTAACGAAAGATTTTTTATTTTGTCTCCTAGAACAGGTCTTCATAGGTAAAACGAAATGCATTTCAAATAACTGTGTGTTTAATAACTACTTGTCGTCGGCAATGATCTGACATAACTTAATGTTGGCATCCCAGTTTTTGAACTTTTATTTACAAATCGATTTATCACACTTGCGTTTGAATAGATCGGCGCAATATATGCACAAGAAAAAACGTCTATGAGAAAATAAAATTTGTCAAAGATTAACTAATCTTGGAGCTGCATGCGGCCCAAAAATTGGCGGAAGCAGTAATTATTTTTTTTTATTGAAAAGTCAATTTCTCCAAAACAGGAGTGGGAAAATCCAAAGAACTATTAATCAAATTGGTGTGGCCTAAAAAAGAAGAATGTTAGATTGAACAAGTTGAAAGTTCAAAAAGATAGAGAAAATTTATAAGTACAAGGGTACTATAAACATAATACATTCGGATGGAAAGTTGAAGAAAACACACTTTAACAGACAATTTCTACAGCACACGGTTACATTTACGACAGAATTTATGTCGATTAAAAACCTCCTGATCTGAGTCCTAATCTCCCAAACTCCTGATCTTAGTTTCACAGTCCATCACATGTATGTGTACTGCAAGGTACCATACCACAAAGGGAAGGCTGGGATTGAGTTTGGGGGTGATGAATCATAAGGGGGTTCAAAAAATTGGGGGGGGGGGGGATTTTTTTTTCCTTTTTTTTCTCTAAAATTTTCCATTTTAAATTGGTTATTTCTGATTTATATATAAAATCAAATAATAATGATATGGTTTGAATAGATGAATTAAAAAATTTTAAGTTCTTAGACCACATTTATTCTGTGTCAGAAACCTATGCTGTGTCAAATATTTAATTACAATCCAAATTCAGTGCTGTATCAAGCTTGAATGTTGTGTCCATACTTGCCCCAACTGTTCAGGGTACGACCTCTGCGGTCGTATCAAGCTGCGCCCAAGCGGAGCATTTTATTTTATTTTACCGGTGTCTGAATATCATATTATAATGAAGGATTTGTATAGTAAGACTATACAAATCCTTGTTATAACAGACGACAACAAGGCAATCTTGCCATCCATCTTGAAATGGATTTAAGGAAAACAACTGAGGACTATTGAGAAATACTTTTCATAAGGACTGATGTCCGACAATCTCCGATTTTTTTCCGGAAATTAAAAATAGTGTTTTTTTTATAAACGCCGATTAATTTTTTTGACTCACTGGCTTTTTTTAGACACAGCAGGGGCGAGGGGAAACAAACTTAAAATTAATTTTGGCCACAGTAGTTCTATCTAAAGAATAGTGTAAACCTTAGGAACAATACTTCAAAAAAACAATATTTTCTTTGATACCCTGTACTTATATAAACTCAAAAGGACCTTAATAATGCCACGGTTGGTCATGGAAAGTTAGGTGAGCAATTAAGGCTTCTAAGAGCCTCTAGTTGCTGTTCTTTATAGTATTTAGTATATAGTATATAGTATAAATATTTTTCTTGGTATAGATTAATAGCAATTATATACATGTACCGGTATTCAAATTTTGAATTTTTCATCAGCATTAAACATTACGTTTAGCATGTTGGACAAATTATTCACTAGAGTTCACATTCAATTTAATTCATTTATATATGATATGTACAATTTATATTTTATGCAGACTATTTTACAAGTAATCAGTATTATGACAGACACCTTCATTCAAGCAAAGATACAAGTTTGTCTTCAATAATTAATCCAGCTTTATGTTTTACTCCCACATATTTATACTTTACACTCAAATTAAAGCACTGTCCTCTTTGGCATAAAGCTGCAAATAAGGACCCCAGATTTGGTTTAGTTTCTATTTATGTTGTTGCCTATGCCAGATAGTATGTTCCTCGAAAAATCATCTATTGTCCCTATATAAACTTTGTGTTAGTGTATAAGACTGAAGCATATGGTCAAGCAAATATGACAGTGATGGGTAAATCAAAGACAGAGTGTTGATTTTTTTTTGTCAAAATATGTCAGAGGTTTACAAAATTACAACTTGTACACAACATACATACTGGAAATGAAAATGTTGTATATTTTTCAGCCGATTATTTTAACCTCTGCCAACATTGATCTTGCATGGATCATTGATAGATCAGCCTCTGTTTGGAATCCAACATCACATGACCGTAAACTGGAGGAACATTCAACACCAATGTTTGCCAAAGTAGACCCATGGAACCGTTGTCTGGCTACATTTGTGTCTTATGATTATGGAATGACCATGTGTCCTCATGCTGTTGGAGCTGCTTGGCCAATTGTTTATTCTAGATTGCATTGTCTATTTCCATTGGTGGACCCAACGTAAGTATGCAGATGTTAACTATTACCCTGCTGAATTGTTTTCAGAAAATGTCTAATTTTCGTTTATTTGCAAAAATATGCAAATTATATGCAAATGAAGTATACCCTGCTGTTGGTGCATATTTATTCCATTAAAACTAAGATAGGGGATTACGGGGCGGGTTGGTTTAGGTGAGGAGGTGGTTAATCTGCCCCAAAGTTTGGTCATCAGGTGCAATTTTGAAGATTTTTCGTCCTATTTCTTGTTCTGGAAGACCGAGGGATGCTGATAGATGTGTCTCACTGTGGTCTGCATGTAGAGTGGACCCCAGTGAACACATTGACCCCAAAAGTGCTGTGTTCAGAGTGAACCTGATCTTAGTATGGTAGTCTAAAGATGGTCATTTCCACCATAAATCCAGAATTTTCCAATATTCGTGATTTTTGGCTTTGCCTGGCCCTGCAACCGGAAAGCAGTCCTTCCCTAAGCATATTTCAATAATTTAGATGAACAGTAGTTATATGCCCGTGGGTTGAAACTGTTTCTGGAAGTTGTAGGTCTGTGTACTGTGTGTCCCAGACACTGAAGGGAGGCCACCCCCGAAAAAAATGTTTATCCGATTTCAATATTTGTTTTTGGGCTCAAACTGCACGTTAAACCTGAGAAACATGACAATAAATAGCCTTAGGTTGAGGGAACATGCTTCAATTTCAAAAAACATGCCATACAGTTGACCTCTAAAAGTATGGAGAGCCGTTGGAGCCAAAAAACGGTATTTTGGGTAGAGGCTGTAATTTTACGGCTCCCGCATGGTAAGGGTTACGATTGACATCCTTAAAAGTAAAAGTGTACCATTGGACACATTAAAATGTTATTTAGGTCTAATTTTTTTAATGAAAAATATTTGAATTTAATATTACGGGTAATTAATCTATGGTCATTTTTTTTTTTTTTTACCTTGGTTCCTGTAATGATATTAAGGTACACTAAAAAAGGAAACCAGAAAGTAGAATAGAGAATGAAAACGGGGAATGTGTTAAAAAGACAACAACCTGACCAAAGAGCAGAAAACAGCCAAAGGCCACCAATGAGACTTCAATGCAGCTAGAAAATCCTTCAGCGAAATGGATGCCACACTAAACTATGAAACATACAAATGAACCAAAATAAACAAAAAAACAAAAGACTAAAAAATACTAGAGGTTCCTGATTTGGGACAACTTCAATGCATTAAACTAAATGTTGTACTAGACCAATTTTTAAGGTGCTAGTTCACAAGGGAAAGGTCTGCAGGAAGACTGTAAGAATGACAATTTTATTTCCTGACTAGTATTTAAATAGTATGGATAATCTTTTACATCAAGAATATAAAGGTTGATAAACAGAAGTTAAGATTGTGGGTAAATTATGTTCTTCAGTGAAGTCAAGAAGTCATTTCCAATAAAGGATTATTAATCCCTTGAAAAGAAGAATATAAAGAGTCAATGGATGTAAATATTATCTGTTCTGTAATTAGTGTGGGATTGCTTAGGAATAAATGAAATATATTTTTTCTCTTCAGTACTATTATGAGTGAGTACAGGGCTTCTTCACTTCTACGATCAGGAACCTCCAGTAAAAAACCAACATCAGAGAAAGATCTTCACATGCAGTTATGGCAAAATTATGTCATTTTGGCTTGTGCTATAGCACAGAGAGATGTAATAGCTCCTCTAAGATGTGCATCACCAGACCCTGCGTAAGTGTAAATCACCTGCTACAGTACAAAAAGACTATTTTATTTTGAATGTGAATTCAACGACCCTTGTACCATCATATAAGATATTATGAAGAGATTTTATAGTTTGTAATTACATGTATATATAAAGGAAAAGATGGAATATGCACTTATTAATGATATGTGTATGCAATACGAGTACAGTGTATTCATTTATTTTGGTGGGTACCAATTTTCGTGAATTGAGGAAAAATTGTATTTTCATGGATATTTGATTTCTTGATTTGGTAAAGTCTGCTTACAAGCCTATGGAAAACTTGTACTTAGTTAAACATTTAAATTTGTAGTTCACCTCTATTCACGAAACCCATGAATATTGGTATAAGACGAATAATAATGAATCCACAGTAATTAGATTTTGTCAGTTAAAAAAAATATATATATATATAACAAAAGTCAATCAATATGGTGCACAGAATGTATATATAAAAATTTAATCCTAAAGACTTCATTTCACGTCAAATAATTAAAGTGTCTCTTGTTAAATCGTTGCATGAACATTGCCAAAAGGCACGGAAATGCTAGTGACATTATTTTAAAGAACGTTAATTATTTGATGTGAAATGTAGTTGTTGCAAATTATCAATTTTTATATATTCTTTACTTTGTCCAGCATTCTAGACTCCTGGGCACACTAAGCTATATAAAAGATAGTTTCATTAGTCATGCAGTCTCATCAATATTATTATATAGATATAAGATGTGGTATGAGTGCCAATGAGACAACTCTCCATCCAAGTCAAAATATACATTTTATGACATGATATCTTTACAACAGACTTTCTCTAATAGATAATCTTGGGTTATACAGGACAATTTCTAACAAATTACATATACTTTGTCAGAGATTTAGCCTTAGTTCTACCTTGGTGCAAATATTGCAGATATAACATTGTTGTCTTTTTTCAGACTTTTTTATATTGTACATAAATCAGATCAAACTTAAGCTCTTAAGACCATTTTTGTCTCTCCTGGGACAAAGTCGATGAAAGAGAGACATATGGATTGCTTTTTCGGCTATGGAACAGCTCCAGCGTCAACAATTGTTAAGTTTTCTGCTTAAGTTAGTTTGATAGGAACTACTTGTGATAGATCATTGACATTTAACATAAAGTTACATTACTATCAGTTTCACAACTATTTTGAGGCCCTGACCCCTAGGACATGGTCCAGTGACTTTGAATTAATTAGCAATTTTCAATGTTAAGTTTTCTGCTTAAGTTAGTTAGATAGGAACTACTTGTGATAGATCATTGATATGTTATATAAAGTTGCATTACTATCAGTACATATCAGTTTCACGACTATTTTGAGGCCCTGCCCCCTAGGACATTGTCCAGTGACTTTGAATTAATTAGCAATTTTCAATGTTAAGTTTTTCTGCTTAAGTCAGTTTGATAAGAACTACTGATATTTTGTATGAAGTTACATTACTATCAGTACATATCAGTTCAACGACTATTTTGAGGCCCTGCCCCCTAGGACATGGTCCAGTGACTTTGAATTAATTAGCAATTTTCAATGTTAAGTTTTCTGCTTAAGTTATATTGATAGGAACTACTTACAATAAACAACGATATGTTCTATAAAGTTACATTACTGTCTACATATCAGTTTGTCAACCATTTTCAGGCCCTGCCCACTAGATCATGGTCCAGTGACAGAATTGATAAGCAATGTTGCTGTCCATCAGATTGTCTTTTTCTGAATTGTATGCCGATAGGCGAGATATATCTCTGTGTCAACAGTTTATTCCTAATACAGACAACAAATACATAACCTAACTTTTTTCTTAAAACATGCATAAAAAGATAAAGCAGCACATATAAAAATGCATAAATAGAGCATAACAGCACATTCGTATTAAATTACATGCAAATTCCAACTAAAATTAAAAAGTTAAAAAATATTTTGTACCAAGAGAGAAAAATTAGCAGGACTATAACTAATAATTATAATAATGTATGAAGCTTAGCTGTATGCAGAAAACCAGTTTCTTCTAACCCATGCCAAACTTTTAGATTTTAAGTTATGAAAATCTATTTTGTCCTGAAATGATCTGGAAGGTTGTCCAAAAAATATGTTATCCCACCATCTCCGTATTTTTAAGTCTCCCAAACAAACTTATTGGTTTTGCTCAGTTCTTCCTCTTCCTCTTCCGCCACTTTTAAATTTGAACTTGTCCGCACCCGTTCTCCAAAACCACTGGTCAGATTAACTTAGGGTTCCACAATATGTTAGACTAACATGTCTAGTGGTGCAATCAGGGTTTTGCTTGTGCAATGGGGGTTTTTAAAGGGGTGCTTTGAGGGGCAAAAAGGAAGGAGGGTTTTACTATAGAACCCTATGGGATTTTATTTTTTTTTATTTTCAAAAGATTATAACTTGAAATCAGTTAGTGATAGACACAATCTTTATAATTGAAAATGTTCTACATGATAAAACACATCAAATGAAATAAAAGGTTAGTCCCTAGGGGTCACCCCACCCCCAGCGATTTGAGAAAGTTCTAATATATTGTAAGTGGTCAAGATCCCCACCCCTAAACCATATATATTCTGGTTTGTCATGATAAAGCACATCAAATGAATAAAAGGGTTAGTCCCCAGGGGTCACCCCCACCCCCTGCCGTTTGAGAAAGTTCTAATATCTTGAAAGTGGTCAAGATCCCCACCCCTAAACCATATATATTCTGGTTTGTCATGCCAAGATGATTGTTTGTCATGTCAAGAAGATTTGGATAATATATAGGGTCAGTCCCAAGGGGTCACCCCCACCCTCTGCCATTTGTCATGCCAAGATGATTGATATTCTGGTTTGTCATGATAAAGCACATCAAATGAAATAAAGGGTTAGTCCCAAGGGGTCATCCCCACCACCTGTCATTTGAATATGTTCAAATATCTTGTAAATGGTCGGGATCCCCACCCCTAAACCATATATATTCCTGTTCGTCATTTCACGAAGATTTGAATGATATATAGGGTCAGTTTTAGTTAAAGATAATAATGAAAATTTGTTTCTTAATTTATTCACAAATTTTGTTGGTCATTAAGTATATTGTGCTGAGTAACTGAGATAAAAGAATTAATAAACATAAACAGAACACATTTGCATACATTGGTAAAGAAAATACTAAGAAAAAATAAGACAGGGTACCAACGCCTGGTAAATCTTTAATATGATAGAATCCACTTGATTGCAATTGAAAATAACAAATGACAGTGAAGCCACTTGAAAGGGTATGGAATTGCAAGTAAAGTGTTGTTCAATTGAATTTGGGTGAAACACAAACTGTAATCACTCTGACAATAACTTATTGAATATTTTAGTACTATAATGCAAGATGACAAACACATATTTTTTTTTTTTTTAGCAAATAACAGACTTTGACAATAATATTAACAAACATTTTAATTTCTACGACATGCACATATTATTGAACATTTTTGTTTTAGTTTTCTTCCATACCTTCTTTCTCTTTCTAATAATACTCACCATGGTAACATTGTGACTTAATTTATCACTTCCCAAATTTTGTACTTTCAGCCCGATTTTCTGTATTGTTTTTATTCTGATGATGGTGCCCTGGGCACCGAAACATGTTGATTTCTTAAATTTACTGCAGCAATCCATAAAGTGTTGTTGTTATAACTGCTTTTACATTTAAAAAATAGGAATAAAATGTCAAAACGTTGCGTGCAAGATTCTTTTTATACGACCGCAAAAAAATTTTTGTGGTCGTATATTGGTATGACGTTGGCGTCGTCGTCGTCCGGCGTCGTCGTCGTCGTCGTCGTCGTCGTCCGGCGTCGTCCGAAGATACATTGGTTTTCGCACTCTAACTTTAGTTTAAGTGAATGGATCTTTATGAAATTTTACCACAAGGTTCAATACCACAAAAGGAAGGTTGGGATTGATTTTGGAGGTTATGGTAATAACAGTAAAGGAATTAGGGGCCAAAAATAAGCATTTTTGTAACTTCCAGACATAACTTGTGTGTTAGTGTATGGATCTCTCTGACATTGTACCACAAGGTTCCATATCACTAAAGGAATGCTGGGATTGATTTTGGGGGTAATTGCCTCCAAATTTTAGGAATTAGGGGCCAAAAAAGGGGCAAAAAACAAGCATTTTTCTAGTTTCATGACAATAACTTGTGTGTAAGTGTATGGATCTTTCTGAAATTGTACTACAAGGTTCCATATCACAAAGGGAAAGCTGGGTTTGAGTTTGGGGGTAATTGCCCTAAAGGTTTAGGAATTTGGGGCCAAAAAGGGGCCAAAAAACACATTTTTTTCTAGTTTCCAGACAATAACTTGTGTTCAAGTGTATGGATCTCTCTGAAATTGTACTGCAAGGTACCATACCACAAAGGGAAGGCTGGGATTGAGTTTGGGGGTGATGAATCATAATGGGGGTTCAAAAAATTTTGGGGGGGGATTTATTTTTTTTTCCTTTTTTTTATTTTTTTCCTTTTTTGTTTCTTTTAAAATTTTCCATTTTAAGTTGGTTATTTCTGATTTATATTTAAAATCAAATAATAATGATATGGTAGGAGATACACACCAAACAGGATGTGTAAATTATTATATAATAAGTATTGTGCAATAGCAAGAAATTTTCAATTGCACAGTATTGCACAATAGCAAGAAATCTTCAATTGCACAGTATTGCGCAATAGCAAGAAATCTTCAATTGCACAGTATTGCACAATAGCAAGAAATATCCAATAGCACAATATTGCGCAATAGCAAGAAATTGTCAATTGTACAGTATTGCGCAATAGCAAGAAATATTTAATAGCACAGGATTGTGCAAAAGAAGATACTTCCTATAAATTGCTTATTTCTTGACCAATTTCAATGGGGTTTTATTCTTGATTTCATGGGGTTCTTTAATATGCTGAATCTAACCGTGTATTTAGTTTTTGGATTTTGGGCCCCGTTTTTAAATTGGTCCACATTGAGGTCCAAAGGGTCCAAAATTAAACTTTGTTTGATTTCATCAAAAATTGAATTATTGGGGTTCTTTGATATGCCGAATCTAACTGTGTATTTAGATTCTTAAATTTTGGTTCCGTTTTCAAATTGGTCTACATTAAGGTCCAAAGGGTCCAAAATTAAACTTAGTTTGATTTTAACAAAAATTGAATTCTTAGGGTTCTTTGATATGCTGAATCTAAACATGTATTTAGATTTTTGATTATGGGCCCAGTTTTCAAGTTGGTCCAAATCGGGGTCCAAAATTAAACTTTGTTTGATTTCAACAAAAATTGAATATATGGGGTTCTTTGATATTCTGAATCTAACCATGTATTTAGATTTTTGATTTTTGGGCCCCGTTATCAACTTTGTCCACATTGAGGTCAAAAGGGTCCAAAATTAAACTTTGTTTGATTTCATCAAAAATTGAATTATTGGGGTTCTTTGATATGCCGAATCTAACCGTGTATTTAGATTCTTAATTTTTGGTTCCGTTTTCAAATTGGTCTGCATTAAGGTCCAAAGGGTCCAAAATTAAACTTAGTTTGATTTTAACAAAAATTGAATTCTTAGGGTTCTTTGATATGCTGAATCTAAACATGTATTTAGATTTTTGATTATGGGCCCAGTTTTCAAGTTGGTCCAAATCGGGGTCCAAAATTAAACTTTGTTTGATTTCAACAAAAATTGAATATATGGGGTTCTTTGATATGCTGAATCTAACCATGTATTTAGATTTTTGATTTTTGGGCCCCGTTATCAACTTTGTCCACATTGAGGTCAAAAGGGTCCAAAATTAAACTTTGTTTGATTTCATCAAAAATTGAATTCTTGGGGTTCTTTGATATGCTGAATCTAATAATGTATTTAGATTTTGGATATTGGACCATAATAGGTGAATGTCCAATTTAAAATTTTTAAGTTCTTAGACCACATTCAATCTGTGTTAGAAACCTATGCTGTGTCAAATATTTAATCACAATCCAAATCCAAAGCTGTATCAAGCTTGAATGTTGTGTCCATACTTCCCCCAACTGTTCAGGGTTCGACCTCTGCGGTCGTATCAAGCTGCGCCCTGCGGAGCATTTTATTTGATAATAGAATAATCACAAGTGCTTTGGAAGGATGAGAAGTTTCCATATTGCATAAAGTAATGATAAACTCTGGTGCTTTCTATGAGTTATTATTGTCTCGCAGGTGACAAAAGTCGCAGTATGCAAGACATAGGTATTAATATATGGCGGCGGCGGCGGCATAAACTATTTGTATAAAGCTTTATATTTTAGAAGGAAGAAGACCTGGATGCTTCATACCTTGTATGCAGATACCTTATGTTACAAAGTTTCCGTCTTTTTGTGATGTGAATTTCTCACTTATTATGAGTAATAGGATAACCATATTTGGTATATGGGTTCCTTGCAACGTCTACATATCCGTCAGACAGGGTTCACCTGACCTGACCTCATTTCATGGATCAGTGATGAAGGTTAAAGTTACGTGATTAGGTCCGTTTCTCAGATACAATAAGCAGTAGGTCAATTATATGTGGTGTGTGGAATGATAGTAAGGGGTACATGTCAGTCTGGCAGGTTTCATCTGACCTTGGCCTCATTTTCATGGTTCATTTGTCAATGTTAAGTTTTTGTGTTTTGGTCTGTTTTTCAAGTAACAGGTCAACTATAATTGGTGTATGGAATGATTGTAAGGTGTACATGTCGGTCTAGCCGGTATCATCTGAACCTTGACCTCATTTTCATGGTTCATTGGTCAATGTTAGGTGTTTGTGTTTTGGTCGGTTTTCCAGATACTAATAGCAATAGGTCAGCTATGTTTGGTGTATGGATCAATTGTAAGGTGAACATGTCTGTCTGGCAGATATTATCTGACCTTGACCTCATTTTCATGGTTCATTGGTCAGTGATAAGTTTTCATAATTTTGTTAGTTTATCAGATACTATAAGCAACAGGTCAAATATTTTTATGCTCCGCCAATGATAGTAGAGGGGCATTATGTTTTTCGGTCTGTGCGTCCCTTCTTTCGTCCGTCTGTCTGTCCAACTTCAGGTTAAAGTTTTTGGTCAAGGTAGTTTTTGATGAAGTTGAAGTCTAATCAACTTGAAACTTAGTACACATGTTCCCTATGATATGATCTTTCTAATTTTAATTTTAAGTTTATGTGATACTTGTAGTAAAACATTCAACATAAATTCAATGATAAGTAAAACAGGCGAGACATTTCAGCATGTGCACTCTTCTTATCTTTATCTATAAAAGTTTTAAGTACATACTCACTACCTAAGTAAAGTATGATCATCCAACAAAAAAGAACCTAAACCTTGTAAATTTCAAAAGTAAATTTGAACCCCTGAAACCCCTGCAGTGAATGTTTTTTGTAATATTAAAAATGTCTTTTGATCACACAGTCTAAATAAGGCTTGGATAATCAAACCATTACTTGTCATTTAAAATGTTTATAAACGGAATATATTGCGCTGGGTATTGCTCTGTGTAAAATATTGTGTGAAATATGTGTAAAATATATTATGGTTTTAGGGACCATCATTTTATGAATTAAATGTTCCAATAATTGAATCCTATAAAGATCCCCAGCTATAAGGTATAGATTAATAACAGTTTAAAGGCAAACACATAAAAGTTTATATGAAGACAATATTTGAGTATTAATTTTGAAGAGTTGCTTGTCTTACAGGTCATCACCAGAAAGTACTTCATCAGACAAGGCTGACAACAGACAGAATGGTACAACAGCAACTGGCCTCTTTCATCTGATTGCACCCTTACTGAAATGTGAAATATCAGATATGAGGGATACAATAGTAAATGGCTTAGGATACACAAATCCTGCTGTGTTCAAGTGAGTTATCCCTGCTATTAGCTCAATTTGGCCAAATGGCCAGTGTGAGCTTTTACCTTCATATTCCATCTGTCATCTCCCTAGTTATTTAAAAAAAATGTCTTGTCTGAACCACAAAAAAAGTAAAATTGAACTATTCAATATGGCATCAACTGTCAAATATAGTTTTTGGAAAGATTTACTTGTTTCAATTCTTTCAAGTTCAGATAAATGATAAATCTGCCAAGTGAAATTACTGACATCAAAGACTTGTCAGATCTTTTTGTTTGACATTTTTGCTTCACATTTTCTCATGTTGTTTGAATTAAAAACAGTTCTCTTGCATCAGAAAAACTACTTACATAAAATAAGGAGATGTGGTATGATTGTCAATGAGGCAACTATCCACCAGAGACCAAATGACATAGATATTAGCAACAATAGGTTGCCATAGGGCCTTCAACAATGAACAAAACCCATACGGCAATGCAAGCTATAAAAGGTTCTAATATGCAAAATGTAAAAAAATTCAAACGTGAACCAATAATTTTATGATAAACTGTTAAATTTCTATCTCCAAATTAAAAAATTGGGTTTCTGTGAACAAATTTAGTAGTCTTTTGGTTTTGTGTCACTTGGTTGTTATCTTCTTAACCTGTGCCAAACTTTCAGCAAATTATTTACATATATGGTGATTACATGTAATTATATTTCTTATAAACAATTAAAGTTAGTATGCCCAAGCCTAGAAAAATATAAATGTAACAAAGAAACAGAAAGTACAGTCAAACTTTTTATATATATATATAAATAATCACTACCTACAAACGGCACATATTATAGATAACAAATAACTATCTACAAAGAGCACTGAGTTTTTTTAGCTCACCTGGCCTTTAACCCTTTCACCGTTAGCTGCCCAGACAGAAGCTACTCTGAGACGATGGCTTCCCTGGCTACTGTTACTCAAGTGGGAGATCTTCATAATAAATGTCAATCAAAACTTGTCTGTAGTTATTTGTGTCATTATTTCATTCACTAACACCATGTTCACAGTTTTGTTCATGTTTTGATAATTTTTTCTTCATAAAATATTCAAATTTTAAAATTTTCAGCATTATCTAGGTGAAATTCTCAAAATTCTGCTCTTTGACCCAAAATCGTAATTTTTTAACCCAAAACAGCAAAATTAAAAAAAATTTAATGAGGCTGTACAAATTCCTTACACTGAACGATGTCCATTCCAAGTGTTTTGTACATAAAACTACATTTTAGGTCAAAAAAGTATACTAGTTTGGCTTCAATTCTTCCATATTCTTTCAAAAAAAATGTTCCCTCATTTCAAATTCTTGTAAATGCCGTAAATTTCCTCTGATTTTGACATGGTTTTGAACAAACGGAAGCGCCATGTTTACACTTTCATCCGGGTATTCAACAAAGAAAGATAACTCGTGTTTGCACTGTTTTGAGCGGGAAATATAAAAGAGGTATTCTGATCCCGGTAAAACGGGACTCATCGTCAGCTGTCTGAAGTGTGAATCACGGAAAACCGGAACTCATCGGCAAAAGGGTTAAGGCCACTTGAGCTTTTGCCATCACTTGGCGTCTGTCGTCAATCCATCATCCGTCTGTCTTCAAAATCTTTTAAAAATCCAAGGATTTGATCCATCAACAAACATGGCCGCTGTTGCTAAAAATAGAACACAGGTGTAAACTGCTGTTTTTGGCTAATATCTCAAAAACTAAAGCAGTTAGAGAAATCTGACATCGGTTATGAATGATCAGCAAGTCATGGTCTATCACCTGTAAAATTTACAGAAAAATTGTACAAACCATTTTCGAGTTATTGCCCATGAAATGTAAATTTTTGACTCGCCTTGATGAAGTCAAAAAGTGAGACATAGGATTGCTATTTCTAGCCTTGGCGGCGGCAGCAGCATCAACAATGTATTAGTTTGTGATTAGGTCAGTTTATGGGGAACCATTAGTGGTAGGTCTATGGTATCTGGTATGCAGTTGTATAAGCATTGGCACATTTCATTTCCATGGAGATTATTTGGCCCAGCCCCCTCAACAGACCAACCCAAACATCGTCGGACCGCAGGTCATGACCTGTAAAAAACTTGAAGGTCCGCCACCATCCTGTGAACTACAGGACCTCCTGTCCTGTTCATTTTTGCAGCATGCAGTATTAAAATTGGGAAAAATGTGTTACTATATCAAACACAAAATATTGTTTTCCTCCTGAGATCAATGAAAAACAATTGTCCTTATGTTAATTAGGATTGCGGAAATACCCTAGTCATATTTATAGATATATATGGGCAACACAAATAGTAACCCAATCAAAATGAAATAATATAAAAAGCAGCCAATGAAATCAGCTTCCATTGACACACGGCGAGATTTTCTTGTCAACTATTTTATGCATTCCCTGAAAATCAGCATTTCTAATGTGACTTCTTTTTATGCCCCCGCCGTAGCGGAGGGGGCATTAAGTTTAACCCTTGTCCGTCTGTACGTACGTACGTCCCAAAATTGGTTTCCGTTCTCTAACTTAAGTTTGCCTCAACCAAATGTTATGAAACTTATACACAATGCTTATTACCACAAAACACAGATCAAGTTTGAATTTTGGTGGCGTCACTTTTACTGTTCTAGAGTTATGCCCCTTTACAATAGAAAATTGCTGAATTTATCGTTTCCGTTCTCTAACTTTAGTTTGCCTCAACCAAATATTATGAAACTTATACACAATGCTTATTACCACAAAACACAGATCAAGTTTGAATTTTGGTGGCGTCACTTTTACTGTTCTAGAGTTATGCCCCTTTACAAATGGAAAATTGCTGAATTTATCGTTTCCGTTCTCTAACTTTAGTTTGCCTCAACCAAATGTTATGAAACTTATACACAATGCTTATTACCATAAAACACAGATCAAGTTTGAATTTTTGTGGCGTCACTTTTACTGTTCTAGAGTTATGCCCCTTTACAAATGGAAAATTGCTGAATTTATCGTTTCCGTTCTCTAACTTTAGTTTGCCTCAACCAAATGTTATGAAACTTATACACAATGCTTATTACCACAAAACACAGATCAAGTTTGAATTTTTGTGGCGTCACTTTTACTGTTCTAGAGTTATGCCCCTTTACAAATGGAAAATTGCTGAATTTATCGTTTCCGTTCTCTAACTTTAGTTTGCCTCAACCAAATGTTATGAAACTTATACACAATGCTTATTACCACTAAACACAGATCAAGCTTGAATTTTGGTGGCGTCACTTTTACTGTTCTAGAGTTATGCCCCTTTACAAATGGAAAATTGCTGAATTTATCGTTTCCGTTCTCTAACTTTAGTTTGCCTCAACCAAATGTTATGAAACTTATACACAATGCTCATTACCACAAAACACAGATCAAGTTTGAATTTTGGTGGCGTCACTTTTACTGTTCTAGAGTTATGCCCCTTTACAAATGGAAAATTGCTGAATTTATCGTTTCCGTTCTCTAACTTTAGTTTGCCTCAACCAAATGTTATGAAACTTATACACAATGCTTATTACCACAAAACACAGATCAAGTTTGAATTTTTGTGGCGTCACTTTTACCGTTCTAGAGTTATGCCCCTTTACAAATGGAAAATTGCTGAATTTATCGTTTCTGTTCTCTAACTTTAGTTTGCCTCAACCAAATGTTATGAAACTTATACACAATGCTTATTACCACAAAACACAGATCAAGTTTGAATTTTGGTGGCTTCACTTCAACCATTCTAGAGTTATGCCCCTTTAGAAATGGAAAAATTGCAAAATTTTCATTTTCTTCTAAATATCAAGTAATTTTATTAAAATTGGAGTTATCTTCCTTTGTCCATGATTATTGTTGAATCAACTACAATCATTGCTTTATACAATGCAATGTTTAATTTTGACTTCCACTGATAAAACACAGATCAAGTTGAATTTGGGTAGTGTCACTTGAATCATAATTGAGTTATGCCCCTTTATAAATCGAAAGATTGCAAAATTTTTAGTTTCCATTCTGTAACTTAAGTTTGCCCCAACCAAACATTATGAAACCTATACACAATATTCATTACCACAAAACTAATATCAAGTACAAATTTTTTTGTTTCCGTTTTCTAACTTTAGTTTGCCTCAACCAAATGTTATGAAACTTATACACAATGCTTATTACTACATAATACAGATTAAGTACGAAATTTGATGGCAACACTTTCACCATTCTTGAGTTATGTCCCTTTATAAACATAAAATTGCTGAATTTTATGTTCCATTCTCTAACTTTAGTTTGTCTCAACCAAATGTTATAAAACTTATACACAACCGTTCTAGAGTTATGCGTGTTTACAAAAAGAAAAATTGCTGAATTTTTAGTTTCTGTTCTCTACTTTAGTTAGTCTCATCCAAGTGTTATGAGACTTACACACAATGCTTATAACCACAAAACTGAGATCAAGTTCAAATTTGGGTAGTGCACTTTTACCGTTCTTCAGTTATGTCCCTTTATAACTATATGATATGCAAGCAGGGGCATCATCTGTGTCCACATGTAGACACTATCCACATTTATTTTTTTTAAATATATTATTAGACGATTTTAAGGCTCACTGGCTTGTCCCCTACTGCCTAAACCCTTTCAGTTTGAATATTTTGAAGATTTTGTATCTCGATTGTCATGTCTGTTGCGTCACTTTCCAGCATTTCTTTTTCCCCGGTTCAATACGCATGCGCTGGAAACATTTGTTGTAAACAATAACATGACTTTCCTCCGTTTTTATGATGGGGCCGTGCTATGAAGCTCTGGATGAATCCATGAACTCAAATAAAGTACGATTATGCCAAAAGAGGAATGAATTTAAATAAAGTCTTAAAAAATTTTTATTCAATGTGATTAAACATGCAAAAGTGTAGTACGAGATAGTAGTTTTGGTTACTTCATTTATCAGTTTTTATCATAGTCAAAGCACTCAGAATGCAGGATTTTGCATCTACTT